AACAGTGCTTAGCATTAACCATGTTTGTAATTTGGGATAAATTTGAATTCGTTTTAGCACAGAGAAAATAAATAAAAACGTCAATTTAGACCAATTTATGTTCGCTGCTAGTACAATTCTATACAAAATGTTAGTTTGTTTGTCTGAGTCTCGTGGGGGGTCTTCACTTGGAGAATCTATTTTTAGCTACTGCGGACAACGCTATTGTTAAACACGTCCGAATTTATCAATATGATAAATTCGCGGCACCTAACACTAACCCTAACCCCAACCCTAACCCTAATCCAACTTTTTAAAACTTTTTCGAAAATCTAACTTTTTAAACTTTTTTTTGGCTTTTTTAACTTTTTTAAACTTTTTTTAATAAACTTTTTTAAACTTTTTTATGAAAATCTTGATCTGAGTCTGTGGTACTGATCTCGAAAGCGTGGACTGGATTAATAATTTCTTTGAATTTATGAACCAATGCGTATAGTGATTCGATTTTGTCTCAGGAAACATTACTGAGCCTCTCGGGAAACAAAATTAACTATTTTTCTCGGGAGCAGATATTGCCTATTGGTCGCCAAAACCGTATCACAACGATATGAAACAATTATTGACCGGTCAATAATAAAACCGCAAGTCGTTCGAGTCAACCAGCAAGTTTAAAGCTGAAAATTTTGTCAAGAGTTTCAGCATGTCTGCGTAGAAGTGATTTTAAGAGATGCCAAGAACTAGACTTCCGCATACTTAACCTATCTGGTATTGACTCTGGGAAGATGAATAGTTTGTTGAATGCAATCATGCGTCTGTTTAGGGTTCGAATTATGTTTGTTTTAGGGTTTGTTTGATTCTTAATCTAATTCCCTGTTGTTTCAGCTCCTCGCCATAGGCAAACTTTGTCATCTATTTAGAATTTTTCGCAATGAGCTTGTGGACGAGTTAAGGTGCATGCAAGATTCTTGAAACAAGCTTGGTTTGATAGAGATGAAACATGAGGGATCAAACATGATATATCGTACACTGTATGATATGACCGAGGTAATTCATGGTGTAATTTCCCGTATTGAAGATCAAATACTTGGAACACCTGAAATATAAGAATGTTGAATGGATGATTCCAGCAGAGTGATTCCAGCTATCGACTAATTTTTTGTCTAGACAAGAAAGACAAAATTTATCATTATATCTCAAACGAGCATCCTAAAATTGGCTAAATTGCGAAGTTTTGTTGCGAAATGTTGTAAAATACTAAAAAAATAGCCCGAATCGATAGCTGGAATCATCCATTAAAACACAGATGCGCAATGACAACGTCTGGTCTAGTGAGGTTCATCTTTTGCAGACACCATCTTACAGTACATTGTGTACACACCAGATCTACAGTCATAGGATTACTGATTACCTCCTCCGCAGGCCTTTCAAAAATTAGGGAGGCGAACAAGTCTCAAATTTCAAATTTTAACCTGCGAACGGGCATACTCATTATCATGAGTATCATGGGACTGTCATTACCATGAAACTACGAGATCACTCTCCGTGTGGTATTGTTGAGTTGAATGAATATTCTTAAAGACCTCTTAAACTTTTTAAATTGACGAGTGTTGCTCGTTATAATTACTTCCTCTGGGAACCCTATCAATACAATATGGCAGCTGAAGTAATTATAACGGTAAAATCTTGAGTGTATAGGCTGACCTAAAAAGTTCATAGCTATTGTGCCTTGGAAGGATTAAGGTTTCGTATAGCGGGATTTACTGATTAAATATCACTGATATATGTTTCATTCTTAGTCAGAGAAGACTTCCAACCTAACATTCTCGTTCCTGTACAAACTATCTACTTATGAGAAGAGTTTAATACGGTTTGAACAATGAATAAGTTGACTGGAAGTCTCGATGTGACTACCAGTCCACTTGATAACCTCGGAACAAACCCAACCGTGAGTGATACACTAGCTTCTACAACGGACAGTAACAGACAGCTGATATTTCAAATCTTACTCTACATTATCGATGTTGCTATAATAGTTGGAAATTCGTTTGTGATTTGGTTGGTGGTTCGTAGGAAATCACTTCATACTGTGACCAATATGTTGTTGGTCTCATTGGCTATCTCTGATTTGATGGTCGGAATTGCCGTCATCCCATGATTTGTCGCCTGCTTTCATGTGAAATGTGATGAAGTGTTGGCTAAAACGGTCTATGATTACTTTCTCTTCGTATCAGTTGCCAATTTATGTGCTATAACAGTAGACCGGTATACGGCGGTCATGTATCCGCTCAGATATCCAAGTAAAATGACTCCACTCGCTGCAATAAGAATGATAGCGGTTGCTTGGATTATTCCAACGATACTTTCATTTCTTCCAGTATCATGGACTTCTAGTACCTCAATAGACAATCAAGAAGTGGCTAGTAAAGTCTTCTATACTATTCAAGTCATATTCTTTGTGTTAACTCCGTGCTGTCTTATGCTGTGGGCTTACTTCAAGATTTTTAAAGAAGCGATCAAACAAGCACGGCGGATTCATTCTGAGACAGGCTATGGTTCAGACTCTGTTAATAGAGGCTGCTCCGTATCCCCCAGTGAGGCTAGCAATGCAATCAAAGTATTCGGAACAGTGGTAGCGTTCTTTGTTTTCTGTTGGTCAATTTCAGCTTACCGAACATTTGTGATATGCTTTAAACTGAAGGCTGTCCACCCCGATGTGACAATGGCGTCGAGAGTGTTAATCGTTCTTAACAGTGCAGTGAACCCTGTCTTTTATAGTCTGTGGAAAAAAGACGTAAGACGTGAGGTTGAGAGATTATTTGTGGGGAGAAGAAGAATTGCAATCCATCCAGCTACCAGTGCTAGTACACCTTCATCTGTTATAACAAAACAAACTGTCACATTTTGGAACAGTAAGGCAGCGAATACCTAGCGGCTATCCACTGGATTGTGATTTTTTCAACCGTTGTAAAAAAGCTAATAGTGAGCTTGAGCAAGCAAAGTTTTGTCAACACGGATGTCATCCGAAAATTACTAGTATTACTAATTTTGGAGGCATTTTGCATCATAGCGCTCATGTAAGGAAGCAAAAACTTTAAAATCTTATGTTTTGTCTTCTGTGTTGAAGATTACACACAAACTGACACAAACACAGTTTTTAATCCAGTCCCCCCTCGGCAATCTGACGCCCATGTTCACAAAACATCGTTTGCGAATTGTTTTATAAGCTCCCTATAGTAATGCTTGAAAAGCTATAAAACTACCGATATGGACCTCACAATTAATAAAAAAATCTTTAATTTATTAGAAATACATGCATGCAACAATCCCTCGCCTATATTTTCCAAACATTGTTTCAACATGAAGTATTCGTGATTACGCCAACATTGAACGCAGGTTCGCGTTGCACGTCATGTTAGTCATGGCAACACCAGAGAATAGATACTACACCAGCAAGCTGCTCTATTTACTGTTCGAAGTACTCCGGATTTTCGGAACACTAATGCAATGGAACAGAAAAGAGTCACATGACTGTTCTGAATTGGTCTGACTACCCCATTTTCGAGTAGGGGTAGCCAGAACAGACACGTGACACTGCCCATTTTCACGTGATTGGAAATGGAGGCGACATATTTTGTGTATCCAATGCACACTGCATAGAGTGTTATTTTGAAGGGTTAACCGCCATATTTCGACATATACTTATTATATGCTATTTGAACGCCAGGGTTGGGCAAAATCAACGAGTAAAAACGTTGCAATAGCATACTTAGATGTACAAATAACAGCGAATCATTATACGCTTTATTATGCGAATAACTAATTAATATAGTAATGCATGATTGCACGCATATATGATAAACTAAACACTGATACAGAACACCGTGTGCACTCCATTTGGAACAGTGTTCCAAATGTCCTAGAACAGTAAATGGAGCAGCATGCAGAAGTGTCACTGAGACGATATTTCGTCCGAAATTTTACGTGCTGACGTGAAAATACGCCATCATATGATCGCGCCATCCTGGAATGCACACGGAAGTTTTTCATGGGTACAAACATAGGTACAAAGTGCCGTTTAGGATTTCTCATACTAAATCAATTCTTATAAATGTTCATGTTTAAAAATGTAAAAATGTTTTATAGTTTGTTATGTGAAACGTTTTTCCAAGCTTTCTTACATGTATTTTTTATATTTTTTGCCTTCTTCACTCCTGGCAAACAGCCATATTTTGAGATCAGTGAGATGACCACTAGGGGATTAATACTACAGTTTAATCTTGCATGTTATACCAATCAACGGAAATATTTTAGAAAGCTTGAAAAATCAGTATCTGCAGTGGATATGGGTATTTATATTGAGGATATTGCTTATTTGACGGTTGCGAGGAAATATGGATTTTATGTTTGACTCGAGAAATACGAAAAATACGCGCATGGTCCAGCATGTAGTGGTATATGAGTTCTACGAGTGTTTTGGTTTCCAGTAAAACACCATTGTCCACACAAGAAAGCGCTATATCCGGCCTCTGCGTGGCAAAATACGTGAAACTGGGCATGGCCTTTTGCGAGACTACGGTAGTACTTATATGTAAGTAAGTTTTAGCAACAAGATCAAATCTGTGGTATAGATGGCCCTTGCAGAATCTTCCTTCTGAAATGATATAACTGACAAAGATTTCCAAGTTCACTGTGAAATAGATCATAAAGTAGATAGGCCTACTTTATCGTGACATTTCTTGTTTCAATACTTTCTGTTCGCATATTTTCTCAATATATTTATATATATATATATATATATATATTTATATATATATATATATATATATATATATATATATATATATATATATATATATATATATATATATATATATATATATATATATATATATATATATATATATATATATATATACCGGGTGTCCCAAAAAAAAGTACTCCGGTTTGATTTATAATAACTTCTAAACAAGTAAAGCTATCAAACAGAAATAACTTGCATTAAATAGAGGAAGGACTAACTTAGATTTTGATATGTTACAGTTGTATTTTACTTAAAAATTCACGGAGATTTTAATGTTCAAAATCGGGAGCATATTTTGGGATGTGTCTAAAATTAGCGAAAATCGGCATATCAAATATTAACTCCAGCGTTTGTTTGCTTAATGACATATCAGGCTAACTTGTATTTCAGCGAATTGTCTTTAGGGTTTGTAAGGGATATGGCGTAGATTTAGACATCTTACATGTAAGTCTTAATTCATTGTTTCCTGAAATATGAACGTTCGAAATTATGCAAGTATATTTAATAGGTCTTTGCAAACTTAAAGGTACACGAAAGACCATGCAAGGCAGGTGCTTAAATTTTTCTTAAATAGCCTAATTGTTTTATGTTTTTAATGGTTCAAAACAAAGTTGATTATTTCTCGGTTAGAGCAGGATGAATATTATTCTTTAATGAAGGAAATAATATTGCTTTTTGCAAATACACATCACAGTATCAACGCTAGCGCTATTTTGTTACGTTTTGTTCCAAAAATGTTGGATGTCTCTGGGGAGTTGATTGTTATGTCTTTACTTATGGAGTTGTTTGCATAGTTTGATTGTGTTTCATTCTCAGTTTATTCTGAACTTGCCAAGATTAAGAAAGGCAAAAGAGTTTGGGTGTTCTTAACAAGATTTCAGAACGTTGCAGAAGTTATAAAGTTCATTCAATATGAAGTTAGAAAATTCACAATTCCATTGTGACAGCATACCCTAATTCAGAACTACGAACGATCCATGACGATCCTTCACAATGCAGTGGTCTCATGAAATAAGGAAACGTATTCGTGCTAGAACACACGCGGATTTCGGACGAATAAATCTTACTTGTATTTTGTTGATAATAATACTTTGTTTCATAATGAACAATTTGTCAAGTGTCATTTATTTACTGGTAATAGTGCATGTTTCAGTCGGGCAAATCTTGATTAATATTTGATACGCCGTTTTTTGCATATTTCGGACACATCCAGAAATATGCTCCCGATTTTAAACATTAATATCTCCGTGAATTTTTAAGTGAAATACAACTGCAATATATCAAAATCTAAATTAGTCCTTCCTCTATTTGACGCAAGTTATTTCTCGTTAAAAGCTTTACTTGTTTAGAAGTTATTACGAATCAAACCGGAGTACTTTTTTTTGGGACACCCGGTATATATATATATATATATATATATATATATATATATATATATATATATATATATATATATATATATATATATATATATATATATATATATTGTGGTGAAAATATAGCATATGCGGCACATGTATGAATCTAATTTAATATAATCGGTTTACAATTAAAGTGTTCTTAGCACAAATGTCTTTATTATTTACAGTCAAAATCAGGGTCAGAATACAAGAACCTTCCCACTTCCGCTTCTGTAACTTGAATGTTTTGTATTTCTGTAATTTGTTCTATTTTTCTGTAGCGATTACCGCTTTATCGACAAATATCGCGGTAGAATTTCCCTTTCTTTCCTTTATATACGTCAATTTGTAGCAAAGGATACACCTTTCGTTAGATTCTTTGCATAAAATTTGCGAAATTTTTATTTTAGTACGTCAAATGATTGTACTCGGTTAATTTGAATTTGTATAGTATGAACACACTATTAGCGGCGGTTTAAAACCGATTTATCAGAAAATATCGCTATAAGATCTAAGTTTCACAACTTCTATGCAAAGAATCTAACGAAAGGTGTATTCATTGCTACAAATTGACGTATATAGGGTAAAGGAAGGAAAGCGAAATTCTACCGAGTACCGGACCCTACTGCGATATTTGCCGATAAAGCGGTTAATCGCTACAGAAAAATAGAACAAATTTCAGAAATACAAAACAAGTTACAGAAGCGGAAGTGGGAAGGTTCTTGTATTTTGACAGTAAATACAACAATACAAGTACAGTACACAAGCTCTGCCAGCTCATGCAAATGTTTTTATTTTGGAATCTTAGTTTCTGGATTACGAACATGTTACTTTAAATCCTAATATTGGGATATGGAAGCGATTATAAGAGATGCCAAGAACTAGACTTCCGCATACAAAGCCTATCTGGTATTGGCTCTGGGAAGGTGAATAGTTTGTTGAATGCAATCATGATATAGGATTCAAATTTTGTTCGGGTTTGTTTTAGCGCAAGTTTGATTTCTTCAGTAGAATGTGGAATAGACAATTCCCATTATAGACTAATTTTAAAACTGCATGAGCAAGGAGATCCAAATAAATCACTACAGCTAGAAAGAGCAAATGCCGAAAATATAGCCTAGCAAAGTTTGCAAATTTTGTATACTTTTGTATTCCGTGCGGAAATTGCTACCATTTTCGGCTCAAATGTTGTAGCAATTTCCGCACGCAATACAAAAGTATACAAAATTTGCGAACTTTGCAAGGCTATATTTTCCGCATTTTACAACATTTCGCAACCAAACTTTGCAATTTTACCTATTAGTATGTTCTTTCCAGGAATACACTTTTTGCCAAGATAAAAAATTAGTTTATAATGGAAATTGTCTATTATCCAATATTCGTGAGAATTTGTTGGTGATTCACACAAAATCGTTTAGCAGTCGCAGACATATCGCAGATGTCAGCGACTGTCTGCCGATTATTCGCCGACGTATTGTTCACATTAAAATCTTTTTAGTTAATTTAAAACCATTAGTTTTATGCAGGGTAACAAACATTAGAGGTTACTTTTAATAACATTTAACATTTGCACGCAAGCATGGTATACAAAACATTGTATGTACTTTGAATGTCAAATACATCATCATCATCATCATCATCATCATCATCATCATCATCATCATCATCATCATCATCATCATCATCATCATCATCATCATCATCATCATCATCATCATCATCATCATCATCATCACCATCATCATCATCATCATCATCATCATCATCATCATCATCCCGTTTGTCCCCTCACGAGAGATTGGGTCATCTCGACGCCTTTCTCCACTCTACTCTGTCGTTGACTTTGTCCAAATCCACCACTCTCCCATCATCCCGAAAACAATCTATCCATCGTTTTCTTGGTCGAACCCTACTCCTTGTTCCTGGTTCATTACGCTCCATTTCTCATCCTCTTTCACTTCCATTCTCTTCACGTGTCCGTACCATCTCAGTCTACTTTCTCGAATCTTTTCTCTCTGCTCTATCACCTTTAATTCCTATCTTCTGTCAACGTTTCTCATTCTATCTCGTCCTGTTACACCTCTAATGGCTCTTAGACATCTCATCTCTGCCACTTCCAATTTCTTCACATGCTCTTCCTTTACTGCATGCCCAGGTTTCTGCCCCATAAAAAATCACCGGTCTTACCATCTTTTGCACACCTGTGTTTTCAGTCTAATCGGCATCCGTTTATCGTGTATTATTCCACTTACATTCCTCCATGTATTCCCTGCATCCTGCAATCTTACCCGTATATTTCTGTACAAATCTCCGCTCTCGTGTTGCCGGCTTCCTAGGTACCTGAAGGCTGTTGTTTGTTCAGTCGCTGTCCGTCCACTATAATCTCCAGCATTGGTACTGGTTGCCCTCTTGAGACTTCTAGTACTTCCGTTTTCTTCTTGCTCATCCTCATACCATGTATTATACTGCCAGTTGATTGGTTATCCCACCCTGACACATCCTGATGTAGTACTTATTGATGTAGGCCTACTTGAATGTCAAATACATGGTTTAAAAATAAATGTGTTATTTCTTTCGAATGGTTTTACAAATCTTTTATTCGTGATAACTTAGTTAAAAAGTAATATAGAAATTTAAGGCGTAATTTCATATGAAAGGCTGAATGTTCATATTACTGATCTGAAATCATGCAACGACTCGATAGTCTACTATGAACAAATAAAGCTAATGAGGCGCCATAGTGAAGCGACAAGAAAATATCTGCTAGTGTCAATGAGACAATGACAAACAAAATAATAAAACCGACCATACCTTTAATTTTTTGGTCACTTACATCGCCGACATTAATCTTTTCCTATCTGAAGTTTGCGAACAGCTTGGAAGCTCTTGGAGCAATTTTTCGGACCCAGTTCCTGATGAAAATGAAAAGAATATTGATATGATGGTTTTATGAACTGTTAACTTGATAGTTGGGAAAGATAATATGAAACTAATAAGTATTTAGACGTTCTCTGGTTTTATATATTTATTTTTATCTTCCCTAGTTTTAAATTACTAAATAATATTTAAAACCAGAGAACGTCTATAACGTTATTATGAATACCCTGGTTTCGCTTCAAACATATTTTAATGTATGAAAACTGTTTGCGACCTTCATAAGATGGCCATCTTGGCTTCACTTTTCTCATAGACCGAAAGACTGGAGTTCGTACTCCAGATATATACAGAGCTCACTGTAAGAAATGAAATACCCATCCTATCTTAATTTTATTGGCATTATTAAACACCTTATTAACACGAAATGTTTAAATTTTCCACTTTGAAACGCATTTTAAAACCAAACTATACATCTGACTAACATTTGCAAGGGTACGGCTTTTTTGATAGTATACACTAGGCTATTTTCAAAGCTATAAGAAAGCGCGTATAAGTGATAATCTGCATGAATGTTGCCTACACTTGTATAGAAATTGCGCTAGTGTCCACTTTTTCCCATTCATCATTGTTTTGACAGCTTCAAATGTGTAACACTGAGCTATAATATATAATGCATGGATAATCTGTCCACCATATGTCTATACATGCAACATTGTCAATTTGTTAATATTGTATACAGATCTAAAACAATTTTCAGTTATTTTTTTGCAGTGATACTTTGTCAATTTTTACTACGACAAGTACGCTTTGTCAAAAGCTAGTATGCTAGCTAGTACGTTAGCAGTAGTGATAGACTCCACGCTAGGGACGGGAGTAATTAGTATGCAAAATATAGGGACGGAAATAATTTGTATGTAAGTCTAATTTGGTATCGGAAGTATTAGTACACAAAGCTACTCCAGCAGGTAGAAGTAATTAGTATAAGAAGTAATTAGTATCCCGACCAATATAGGTATTAGCATTGGTGGTAACCCTAGATTTGTCACCCCCGAGGGCGTCGTAGAGGCTAATATGATTACTTATTCATCAAGTTGACTTAGTACTCCTTTGAGAGCCTTTAACCCTAGTGCAATGACGCCACAGAACAAGATCAGGCGACAATCGGGCAAGCCTGGGTCTTAATGGATATAAATGGATATTATTACGGGCGATCGTGGGCATGTTCAGGCGAACAGTCAATATTTATAGATTTATTACGCGGCTTTGCGGGCAAAAGTTTCGAGAAGAATTTACATTTAAAACACATTCATTTCTTCAAAACGTTTTACAAAATTTGGTACGGTCTACGTATAGGATAGACAATGATCACGTGTGTTCAGTGCGATATAGACTCCCGAGAATTAGTTAGACGGCCACGAGGGCCGAAGGCCCGAGTGGCAGTCTAACTAATTCGAGGGAGTCTATAATTTCACTGAACACAAGTGATCATTGTCTATCCGACTTAGAACATGATCACACCCACGAGGAATGTCTGTTTTAATTAGGTGTATTGTTAACAAATAATTAGTATTGTTCCTTTTTAAGTATAGTATTGTTCCAAATAATTAGTATTGTTCCTTTTCCTGTTCCTTTGGTTTTCAGGGTTAGATTGATTTGGTTTTAGGGTTTCATTAATATGTCAGTGATAGGCATGGGCGTTTTTCGAAAGCATGGACGGGCTGTCGCAGCGAAGCAATTGAAGCGATTAATGCGACACAAGATTTCTTGCTTTCTGAACCAGTAGATATTTCAAAATATTTGGACGAAGATGGAGAGTGTAGTAGGTTCGAGAAACCTACTACAAATGAACAGATAAAGCAAAGAAAGAGATAGAATTCCAAACAAAACTAGACAAAATACCTCTTGGGCGGTAAAGGTGTATCGAGCTTGGGCTGAATACCGAAATACGAAAATTGAAACGGCCGTAGACAAATATTCTTCGGCTACTCTTACTTCTAAAACGACAAGCGTGAAAGAGGTCGACTATTGGTTAACAAGATTTATTTTAGAACCTAGGAGAGGGGATGGCAAGCCATACCCAGCAAACAGTTTATATAACATTGCTACTGGGTTATTGAGACATTTCAAAAACGATCTTAAGAGGTTTCATTACGCTTGGATTCAAAGATGAAAGAAATGACAAGCGCTGCCATTAGCACGACGAAATATGTGGCAGATCCTTTAACGTTAGCAGACGAAGAACTGTTCTCGTCGTCAGGCACTACTGGTTACTGAACGATACTCATTTATTATATCTCGGGCGGGCGTGTGTGCGCATGAGTGTAAGGATTGTGTGAATATACAGCTGTATTTTTGAGCTTTATATTAAAAATTTTTGCAGTAAACAATTTTGTCTTTAACGACTTTAAATGTAACTCATTAGTATGCCCTATGTGGTCACTAGTACGCTCTATATAGAGCATACTAATGAAGCTACAAAACAAAAGAAAACAATATACTCGTTAGTATTCTCTATATAGAAGAGTGCTAACATTTCTTTACCGCGCAATTTCCCTGCACTTCAAAGCCCAAACCACTTGATGATATGGGATATAGACCACTGAAATACTGTGTTCTGATTGGCCGAGTGGGTGTGATCATGTTCTAATTCTAAGAACGTAACGTTTAGGCGTTTTTGTTATTTTTAAGGAGTTCCAATATTCTTGTCTATCTTTAGACAATAACTTTGCAATTTTCTCCGGCTTCATTGGAATATATTTTGGTCTCTCGTGAAGTAGTCTTCGTTCGTAAACTTCTCTTTGTTCCGGGTTCATCATTGCCAAATCTTGGGGCCTCGAATCTGTAGAGTCTACCCATTTGTGAGAAAAGTTCCGCTTTATAACAAACGTACTTGTAGGGAAGTGAGTCCGGTATTGGACACACCGAGGGTGGCTGGAAGTTTCCCGAACTTACCGAGCGAAGCGAGGTGAGTTTGGGAAACATCCAGCCACCAGAGGTGCGTCCAATCCCGGACTCACCGAACCTGCAAGTACGTTTGGTTTTTATCCCATACACCGAGCCATACACACGTTTGTAGCTCTTCGAGATATATTCGTCAATGTTTTGTCAACATTTTCCCGGCCAAAAAACACTGGGCAAGAAAATAATTCTTTATTTACGTCTAGATTACCTTTACTGCATTTTTCTTTGGCCCTTCTTCAGTCTCAGCAAGTTAGTCACCGAAAAAGCTCTATAAAGCCTAGGTTTATCGGCTAGATCCTATCCGCCATATTTGTTATTGTTATTGCAAGTTGCAACGTGAGCAGTTTCGCGGGTGAGATCGGCGAAAAGCAGGTGAGTTTCGGCAAAACGCAGATGAGCTCGACGACAAACTCACCTGCTCTAAACCAATCAGAAAGCCGCTTTTAACACAGGTATGGGATAAGAGTTTTGGTCGTTCCTTTTCTGTCTGTGGCGGTGTAAGGAAATTAGGTTTAGGAGTAGTAGGCACTGGTGGTGTTATCGTAACAGGTTCATTGGTTTCTGGTGGTGTCGTTTAAATAGGGGCTTCATGACTGGGATGAGGGACTGGAATATTCATCTTATTTTTGAATATGAGAAACCGATTTAGTTGATCAGAATATAACTTGCTCTTTTCCACGGCGGTAAGCTGTGGTGCTTCCATGATTTCTTGTATTCTCTGTTCGGCATCATACTTTGCATTTACAAGCGGTGGTTGTTGATATGACTTTTTCGTACATATTCGACTAACGGATCAATCTCGCCAGGAAGTATGTTGGTCTTAAGCCGATTTTGATCATCTGTTGTTGGCTTTAATTCCAGCATCAAATACCCGCCATGAGGTCAGCTCGTAGCATCTTCATAGCTCCTCATGAACTCTTGCTGCAAGAGTCTTGCACTCTTCCGGGATTGACTTGCCTTGTAAGCATATAAATTTGCTGTTTATCTCTTGGTGACTTGAACAGTACGATGTAATGGGCATTAAGGCTGATATTTCTCATTTCTTTGCCCTGATAAAATATGTTTTGGACAATATTGATGATGGACAAATTTTGGTGATGGCTTCCTTTCGTAAAAAGATCGGCTATACGTTTGTCTTTGCTAGATTGTGTGCCATGAGATCCTCCAATACGATCAAATTCCGTTGCGATACGTCCATGTAATCCACTTTGTCGATATCGTCGGGAATGCCTTTATTAAACTCAATTCCAGTCATTGTTTTCAGCATATCGAAATAGGATGGTTGCCTTTGACCATAACACCAGATGATACGTTGACGAGGTGGACTTATAGTTTTCTGTGTATTCTCCAGGAGAGTTTTTACCCACACAGTATTAACACTTTGTGTACACCCTGCTATGATGCAAATAAATGGATGCTGTTGCATAACTGTAACTCCATTCACCGTAAGACTTTGTTGCACAAGATTACGATTTCCATATGCATGGACAACCTTCTTGTGGCGAAGGAGATTACACGCATTTGCAAACGTTTTACCGCAGACGTCGCATTCATAAGACATGTTTACTTCTCAAGAATCAGAGTACAATGATTTAAAGCAAGGGTGATGAGGCATATTTATTCCGTTGGCTAAAGTTCATGAAACTATAATCCTAACTATTAAGGCTATAGTCATGACTATTAAGACTGTGGTCATGACTATTAAGACTGTAGTCATGACAATTAATAAGACTATAGTCATGACTACTAAGACTATATTTATGACTATTAAGACTATTCCATTGCCTTTGTAAAACGTGGCATGATACCGCTATATTTAATTAAATAGGTGTCCAAGGCCTACTCTGGGGCGGTAAATCGCCTAAAATCGCTTAAAATCGCCAACATGCATTCTGTTTGATACATTCAGTCCATGTACTCCAGTTTATCAATTGCTGCTATTTTACGGGCAAATCATGTAATCCAGGTGCTTCGCAATCAAAAGTAATGCAACATGAATTAGCAATCAAATAAGTGGATTAGGCTGACAATATTTGGTTACTCAATAGGCACCGGTCATCGACAAAAATAGAGCCTTTTTCTGCTTTATACAGACTTTACAATAATTAGGTAATTCTGGGATCTGAAAGACCCATAGATCCCATAAACTATCAGCAACAAAATTGAGCTAGTTACCAGAATGAGTTAATTTCATTATTGGTGTAAATGGAGGCTGGGCTACAATTTTATATGGACTATAGAGGCTGGGCTACAAATCAACCTATTATCTACATGGCTTCTCAAAGCCTACTTGCTGTTAATTAGAATATGGGCGGCCGTTACCACCAAAAATACTACACGTGTGAAATGAATGGACATAAACAGAAATCATTCATTAAAATTTTATGAAATAATAAAATTTTATGAAATAATATGGCCAAAATTTTATGAAATAATATGGCCAAAATTCGATAAGAGCTTCCCACTAATTAAGGTCAGAACGTCATCACGCGACCCTCCGTTCATGTCTCCTCTTGTGAACCACCTTCTGAATCAAAGGAAAAGAGCCATACAAAACGGAAATACTGAAGCAAATACACGATTGCAAGAAAAAATCAACAAGTTAATTCGGGAAAATCAATTAAGCGCAGTCAAACAGGAGTTTGGCAACCAGAAAACTGGATCGAAAAGTTGGTGGTCTAACGTAAATAGCATTACATCGAGAAAAAAGAAACATGATGTATCTGTAAGTGCTTCTCTTAACCCTAGTGAAATTAACAAATATTTTCAAAGTGTAAATACAGACCCAAATTATACGACTCCCGACCTATTCAAATCTCCGAAGGAACAAGAATTCCCTCGTTGTCAATTCATGAAGTTCAACATCTTTTACGCAATCAAAAACGCTCTTCATCGGGTCCGGACAATCTGCCATATTGGTTTTGGAAATCGTTTGCTATTGAATTAGCTCCTATTGTCACAGAAATTTTTAACATGTCACTAAAAACCAGCAAAGTACCTCAGAAATGGAAATCCGCCAACTTATTACCACTCCCTAAAGAATCACCATTAAATTCGTGCAACCAGTTAAGACCAATCTCTCTGACGGACATCATCATGAGACTATTCGAGAAGTGCGTGTATAAATCTGAAATCGAACCTATCACAAGAAATAACATTGGTCCTGACCAATTTGCTTATAAAAAGGGTCACAACTCGACTATGGCTCTGATTAAATCCCAACATCAATGGCTAGAGTGGCTGGATAAAAACGCTAATTATGTTAGAGTGCTGTCGTTCGATTTCAGCAAAGCATTTGACAGTGTGCCCCACGATCTTTTGTTTGAAAAAGTTAAAAAGCTACCCATTAATCCGTATGTGGTGAACTGGTTAATTAGCTTTCTAGAAAATAGAATACAAAGAGTAATGGTTGATGGAATGGTTACAGAATATTTATATATTAATCGTGGTGTCCCTCAAGGTACTGTTTTAGGCCCAGTTCTTTTCTCAATAATGGTTGATGATATTAAAACTGCTGATCCTAGTAATGCGTTAGTCAAATTTGCTGACGATTTGACGTTAGGAGTGCCTGGCAACGAAAGTGGTGACACATCTCGATCTGAAGCTGCCTGTTTACAGGATTGGGCGGAAGAGAATAGAATGCCCTTAAACTTGGAAAAAACGTACGAAATGGTTGTTCGCAGACACACCTCTGTAGTTTTGCCCAAGCTTATCCCTTCAATTAAGCGAAAAACATGGCTAAAGCTTTTAGGAGTTACTCTACAAGATAACCCGTGCAACTGGGATTTGCACTTTGAAGAAATGCTCAAAAAAGCAAGTGGACGAATGTACATTATGAGAGTTTGCAAATACTATGGACTATCAATTAAACAATTAGATCTGCTGTTTGATAGCCTAATTATGTCGATATTCACTTTTGCTATTGAGCTGTGGGGTTGTGCATACGACGGTAAATATTTGAACCAAATAGATAAATTCATTAAACGTGCACATAAGAATGGTTGTATATCAAAACGAACACACATTAAAGAAATACGTGATAAGAGAGATAAGAAGCTGTGGAACAAAATAACATCAACTGAGGACAATGCATTGCTTGAACTGCTGCCGGAAAAAAGAAGTAGGTTACTTAGGCCTAGAGGGCATGAGTATGAACTCCCCCTAGTGAGAACAGAAAGATTCAAAAGGTCGTTCATAAATCGTTGTCTGTATAACTTTGTTTAGACTTTAATCTCTTAAAAACTTTTTAAAACTTTTTACGCTTCTTAACTGACAATTGTAAATATAACTAGATCAATTACCTTTCGATTGTAAACTCAGACGGATGTATCTGAGTATTTTAATAAAGACTATTATTATTATTATTATTATTATAACACGAACGAGTCATCATGTTTAGAAATGCTTGAACCTAACGTAGTGATATGACTGGACAAGACCAGAAATGATTTGTTTAAAATTGAAATGATTCACTTGATTGTGTATTCATTCGTCTATTATTGCGCTGACTCATATAGTTCAAGTGAAATGTTTTGGCATATTTTGCAATGACTTAGCAGGTCGTATACAAGTGACACGTTCAGTTGGCAAATAATTCATGCTTTTTTAGAACCATCCGCTGTGTTTTAAAATAGCTCAACTAAATACGAAATGATTCAACTAGATGGGACGTGATTCAACCTTATGTGGAATAAATAAACTAAATGTGAAACGACTCAATGAAATGTGAAATCACTCAGTTAAATGCGACATCGTTCAACTAGATGTGACACGATTCAATACCATGTGAAATCACTCAACTAAATGTGAAATCATTCAACTAAATGTGAAATGATTCAACAAGATGTGAAATGATTCAACAAGATGTGAAATGATTCAACAAGATATGAAATGATTCAACTAAATGTGAAATGATTCAACTAAATGTGAAATGATTCAACTAAATGTGAAATGATTCGCGTCCACGTGAACTGACACGACATGTTTTGAACTGACGTAATTTGTGCGGTCTTGGCACGTCTTGTTGTGAAGTGATTCATCCACGTCTTGTTGTGAAGTGATTCATCAAGTTGTGAAGTGATTCATCAAGATGCTTCCGTCTTATTGAATAAACTTCCTTCGAAGAAAATTTACGGAAATCACAATGAAATTTGTGGGAATAAAATTTAAATATGGAAATTCACCGCCCGAAATGAAAATTAACTATCGATAAAAGTCCTTTCCTCGACTCGCAATTCAACGTTCGCAAATAGCAATTTTATATCGCGACATTTCCCAAGCTTTTGTGTGCGTTTTGACGGAGAAAATATTTCTCTTCGAAGATCTCACTATAAAGATATGTGTTTAAACTGGATTTATAATCTGTTTTAACCTATATTCCCTCGATTTTTTCTGTGTTGTTGTTAATGTACTCAGGTGAATATGATGCTTGTGATGCTACTCTGAGTGGATATCCACACCGGGCAAGCTTGAAAAATATGCCTGACCACGGTGAGAATCGAACCTACGACCTTTGCCCCTTTGGAATACTGGCCCAGTGCGCTGCCAACTGAGCTACGCGGTTCAATTAGGTTTGATTCCCACCATGGTTAGGCATATTTTTCAAGCTTGCCCGTTGTGGATATACACTCAGACCCCGTTCACACGATACCGGCATGGAATTCTGCCGGCAGAAAATCATCACGGTTTCAACTGTTGGTCACACGATACCGGTGTCCCAGGAAATCCCCCCCCCCCAAACTTTGCCCCCCCCTGGACAAATTTCCTAGGAAATATGCCCCCTTTTCGGAAATTTGACCCCCTCGAAAACATAGTTTATTTTATCGCTATAAGCTCGGACATCGTGAAGCTTCTTCTAAAACCAAGATCCTAAAAGTGTTTGTCATTATTTATAGTTAGTTTGCATAATTTATTTGTGTCGAAATCCTTCATTGCGGCCAAGAACTAAAAGTTTGAAGGAAAGCGTAATAATAATAATGTTCTAGTGCCGTCATGCTAGACACATCACACATGGGTATCTGTTGAGGACAACGTTAATGCCTAATGGCTTAGCTTTAACTAATAAGGATACGAAACGATTTTTAGACGTTTGTTCGAAAAACAAAATCAAATGAGTGGTTATTTCGTAAAAAAACTTTTTCTATGCATTTTACTTATATATACACAATATATATAATCGCTGATATGGTTGGGACCCATTACAGAAGCATTCCGTAAAAACGGAAGTAGACTGCATGCTTCATGGCTCACAAAAACATTCGCACACAGAAAATCACAAGGGTTTGAATGACTAACAAAACATTCCGCAAACTTTGGATGACTCACAAAAACATTCCGCAAACACGCAAAAAAAAAGTTAATGCAGCAGCTACATAAAATCTGTCAGTGTGATAGGGCCGGTAGGCCTAAGCAATTCTCTTGGCCTAATTCTCGTCAGTATTGCAATTCAGTGGAGAATTTTGTTTTGACACAAAAAATATACGCAAACTAACTATAAATGTTGGGAAAAATTTCTAGAAATTTGGTTTTAGTAGAAGCTTTGCGATTTCCGAGCCAAAAGATAAAGTAAACTATAATTTTTTAGAGGGGGGCAAATTTCCGAAGGGAGGGCCATATTTCCGGCTACGAAATTTGGCCCGGGGAGGCCAAAAATCAGAAGAATAAAAAGAATAAAATATCCAACAACAACTTTTGCAGTTTTGTTAATTTCATTTTGCATAACCGTAATGAAATTCTTACGGTTAGGCGTTCACACGGCACTCTGATGGTAGATTTCGTTCCGTTTTCAAACTCTTACGGTTAGCGTTACGGTTTCACAGTTTTTCATACCGATACATATCATGTGAACGCGACCCCTAAACGTAAGAATTTCGTACCGTTTTCAAACTCTGCCGGTATCGTGTGAACGGGGCCTCAGAGTAGCATCACAAGCATCATATTCACCCGAGTACATTACAACAACACAGAAAATATCGAGGGAATATAGGTTAAAATGAACAGATTATAAATCCAGTTTAAACACATATCTTTATAGTGAGATCTTCGAGGAGAAATATTTTTTCCGTCAAAACGCACACAAAAGCTTGGGAAATGTCGCGATATAAAATTGCTATTTGCGAACGTTGAATTGTGAGTCGAGGAAAGGACTTTGATCGATAGTTAATTTTCATTTCGGGCGGTGAATTTCCATATTTAAATTTTATTCCCACAAATTTCATTGTGATTTCCGCAAATTTTCTTCGAAGGAAGTTTATTCAATAAGACGGAAGCATCTTGTTGATTCACTTCACAACTTGATGAATCACTTCACAACAAGACGTGCCAAGACCGCACAAATTACGTCAGTTCACGTGGACGCGAATCATTTCACATTTAGTTCACGTGGACGCGAATCATTTCACATTTAGTTGAATCATTTCACATCTTAGTTGAATCATTTCATATCTTGTTGAATCATTTCACATCTTGTTGAATCATTTCACATTTAGTTGAATGATTTCACATATTATTGAATCGTGTCACATCTAGTTGAACGATGTCGCATTTAACTGAGTGATTTCACATTGCATTGTTAGTTGAGTGATTTCACATAGTATTGAATCGTGTCACATCTAGTTGAACGATGTCGCATTTAACTGAGTGA